ACTACAGGCGCCCGCCAATTTTTTGTATTTTTAGTAGAGACAGGGTTTCACTGTGTTAGCCAGGATGGTCTCGATCTCCTGACTTCGTGATCCGGCCCCCCCACCCCCCCCGGCCTCCCAGAGTAGCTGAAATTACAGGCGTGAGCCACCGCGCCTGGCCCATTACAGAGTTTTAAGCAGATGAACTGCTCTATTCACAGCAGCCAAAAGGCGGGAGCAACCTGTGTCCATTGACAGGTGAATGACTAAACCAAATGTGCTCTATATTACAATGGCACATTATTGAGCTTTAAAATCTGACACGTGCTACAAGATGGATGAAGCTTCAGGACATAATGCTAAGTGAAATAAGCCAGACACAACAGGACAAATACTGTATTATTCTACTTCTATGCGGTATCTAGAGTATTCAAGCTCATAGAGATAGAAAGTACAATGGTGGTTGCCAGGGGCTGGAAGGATGAGCAGTTTTTGTGTGTACCCACCCAAATCTCATGTCAAATTATAATTCCCAACATTGAGGAAGGGAGCTGCAATTAAAAACAGCAACATAATGACAACAACAAAAAGGCACTGTGACTGTACTACAGCATTGTACAGAGATTAGACTGGAGCAGATAAGACTAGAGGCCAGAGGCCAATTAAAAGCTGCTGAAGTAATGGAAGTAAGAGAGGATAATTGTCTAACCTGGGCAGGTGGCAGTTGATTGATGCTGCCATTTGCAAGTTAAGGTAGACAGAAGGAGCAGGGAATGGGGATGATGGTAGATTCTGTGTGAGTGTGTGTGTGTGTGTATACTCTATTATTTTTACCCTCTATCAAACATTATGGCATGCTGAGATACAGAAGGGTGGATATGTCTAAAGAGTTGGCTATAGGACCATGAAAATGTAGAAATATAGAGTAAGAAAAATAGAAGAGGTCCAAGAAGTATCTATGGATGCTTCAAATAGAATATAAAATAGAACTTAAAAAGAAACATCAGGAATTTAAAAGTACAGTGTTGGGGACTTGTCTCTCAATCCTCATTATGCAGGACATCACTGGTTTTGTTGTTGTTGTTTGCTTGTTTTTTGAGACAGGGTCTCACTCTGTTGCCCACGCTAGAGTGCAGTGGTACGATCTCAGCTCACTGCAACCTCTGCCTCCTTGGTTCAAGTGATCCTCATGCCTCAACCTCCAGGGTAGCTGGGATTACAGGTATGCACCACCAAGCCCAGCTAATTTTTGTATTTTTAGTAGAGAAGGGGTTTCACCATGTTGGCCAGGCTGGTCTTGAACTCTTGGCCTCAAGTCATCTGCCCACTTTGGCCTCCCACAGTGCTGGGAGTATAGGTGTGAGCCACCATGCCCATCCAGATATCACTGGTTTTAAAGTATCCTTTGTAGTCTCACTCAGAACATCAGTTCAGAAAATCTTTATTACCAATAGATACATGACTTTACAAAAGCTTCTAGTATATAAGGACATCTTGCCCATTCTTAATAACACGTGTTGTTAATAAAGACACTCATCATTTATATGATGAAGTTACATTCTAGATCCTATTCATTTTCCATTTCTAATAGCCCCATTTTATTACTTGCAATGATTTTCAACTCTGCTATCAAAAGTAAGTCAACTGTTGCTCTGATTACAATTGGATGTTTCAAACTATCATCTTGATTACAAATGAATGAGTTGCATGCTGCTGTTGGAGAAACTTTGCATATTTCAAAGAAAAGAGTAGAAATATGTCTGATGGCAAAATATAGTATGATAGCATTTATACATAAAATCAACACTATAGTTACCCTATTTTATTATTTTTAAGCTGTACACAATCTTCAGCGGTTTCCTGAACTTTATATGTTAGAACTTTATTTTTTTTTTATTTTATTTTTTTTTTTGAGACGGAGTCTCGCTCTGTCGCCCAAGCTGGAGTGCAGTGGCCGGATCTCAGCTCACTGCAAGCTCCACCGCCCGAGTTTACGCCATTCTCCTGCCTCAGCCTCCCGAGTAGCTGGGACTACAGGCGCCCGCCACCTCGCCCGGCTAGTTTTTTGTATTTTTTAGTAGAGACGGGGTTTCACGGTGTTAGCCAGGATGGTCTTGATCTCCTGACCTTGTGATCCGCCCGTCTCAGCCTCCCAAAGTGCTGGGATTACAGGCTTGAGCCACCGCGCCCGGCTATATGTTAGAACTTTGTATGTTAGAACCTGAACATATTTGCATATGACATTTCAGTATAAAGCATTAGGACTATTTTTAAATAAATGTAAAGGCATTGATATAAAAAGAGCACTGTTCTCTTTCTAAATTGTTCCCTTAAAAGGCCTTAAAATTACTTCTGTGATGTCACAACTCAAAATTTTTGAATGACATTTTAAAAATTCTAACTCATCCTGGATACCAATGCACCCGAGATAAGCACCTTTCCTAGTTATGACATTTCTGGAGTTGTCACCACCTATTAACTGTGGCTTGGTTGGAGTTGTAAAATTTGATATTTGGCTAGTAGAAAGTAGTCACTGCATATGTTAAAATAGCTATAAAAGATTCTTACCTTCAGCCCGGGAAGGATCTATTATTCTTTGTGATTTGTTCTTTCATTTTGTACCCTAAAAGATATTAGCGTATGAAATTGGCAGAATTGCCCTTGGCCCATGTCACCTTTCAGAGTTGCCAAGCAAGCATCATGAGATTGGTAAAGCCAGCTCTATCGCATCTCTTGGTGGCACTAGAACACACTTTCTTAAGGAAAAAGCCAGCATTTGACCCACTGCCTGGCATGGCAGTCAGAGCCAGGAAGGGCTTTGGTGAATATGCCAGGATGTGCGGTGATCCAAATGATCCCTTTCCTTAGGTGTGTGACCCAGTCTCTACAACTTCCTACAACTCCTTCCAGGACTTTCTGACTCACAGCTTGGGAAGAATTAGGAAAGAACACCTGCCAAGCTGAGCAGAACAGCTACTTCCTGTTTATGTGTTTCTGCTGGAACGTCTCATTTCTTCTTCAGGACATGTTTGGATATACACGGGAATAGAAATGCCAGAGTGAAAACAGATTTATCACTGTCAGAAAAAAAAAAAAAAAGCCCTAATATTCACGGAAGATGGGGTCTTGGTTTCTTTATTCCATGTTATTATTTGTTAAGACTGTTAACAAAAAATAAGGCTTTTTTTCCTCTGAACTTAAAAACTATAAATTTACTTGAGTCACTAACAGTGCTCTCAGTCTAAGAGAAAATTACATAATAACAACAATAATGAACAAAGCACTTAGCATGTGCCAGGCACTGTTCTAAGTGCTTTTACATATTCAGTCATTACTTTTCACAACAGCTCTATGAGGTAAGTACTATTATCTCCATTTTACAGATGAAGAAACTGAAGCACAGAGAAACTAAGGTTAAGTCAGACAGCTAGTATGTGGCAGAGTCAAGATTTAAATCTAAGAAACAGGGTCTGGAATCTGTACTCTTAACCATTATGCCACACTGAGATGGTTCCCAGACAGCAGGAAGAAGAAGTGTTCCTTCTCCATAGGCAACAGTTCACTCATTCTTTTGGTGCAGTGATGTACAGTCTGTACTGAACTCTCCAATATAAAACGTGGGGAATTAAAACGTATACAGAGCCTGAAAACTCACTCACTTTTATAGTGGTTCTAAGCAAAGAAAATGCTTTATGGGTTCAAACAAGTCAAATTTATGAACTCAATTTTTTTTTTTTTTTGTGGAAACTGGCTGGCAGTCTCTATTTACAATATCTCTCCTCCATTATAAAAAACATTGCAATGGAACTATGTGAACACTTTTTCCCCTTTCCCTTAGAGAAAGGGAATTAAGTCAAAGGTGATACATATCCCTGGAGTTAGCTGAAAAAGAAATGGGAAGAAATCTGAGAATAGCATTGTGAAACTTGGTTTCCACAATTCTCAAATTTAACCATGAAATTAAAATTAGATACAGGGGATAGACTGTCCTGGCCATAAGCAAGTCAGGGAGTGAGCGCCAAAGAATTCATATACTCTTCCTTCTACTTCTTTTAAAATTCCACCTTCTGAAGGACCTGAGAAATATGATCACTACTAAACTCACTCGTGTATTAAATAATGATTAGGAAGAGCTAAGAGTTGACACAGAGGAAGGCCAGGAAACATGGTAAATGTGGGTAAGGGCATTAAAAAGTTAGCAGACTACACCATATCTCTAAAGCCTGATGATTTTGCTGAAGTATTGTAACTCAGGAGAGAAAGCAAGACACCCTCATGGGAACTCTTTTGAGTTTTTCATTCTTTTCCCCCTCCACTCAGTTCCATCCAGATGTGGCAGCCTCAAGTAGCTAGAAGAAAAAAATTTGGCCAGAAGCAGTGGCTCAGGCCTGTAGTCTCAGCACTTTGGGAGGCCAACATGGGCGGGTTGCTCAAGCTCGCAAGTTTGAGACCAGCCTGAACAACATGGCAAACCCTGTGTCTACAGAAAATACAAAAATTAGCCAGGCATGGTGGCACATATCTGTAGTCTCAGCTATTTGCAGGCTGAGGTGCGAATATCACTTGAGCCTGGGAGGTTAAGGCTGCAGTAAGCCATGATTATGCCACTGCACTTCAGCCTGGGTGACAAAGGGAGACCCTGTCTCAAAAGCGAAAAAAAAAAAGGTCAGGAACTGTGGCTCACGCCTGTAACCCCAGCACTTTGGGAGGCCGATGCGGGCGGATCACGAGGTCAGGAGATCAAAACCATCCTGGCTAACATGGTGAAACATTGTCTCTACTAAAAACACAAAAAATTAGTCAGGCATGGTGGCATGTGCCCGTAGTCCCAGCTACTCCAGAGGCTGAGTCAGGAGAATCGCTTGAACCTGGGAGGCAGAGGTTGCAGTGAGCCGAGGTCCCGCCACTGCACTCCACAGGCAACAGAGTGAGACTCCATCTCAAAAACAAAAAAAAAGGAAAAAGAAATTTTGACAATAATTGAGAAAGTAAACTAAATGATCAAGACAGATGTATAAAAATATATGTATAATGTAATGTTTATTAAGCTTGCTTGAAAAACAGAATTCTTTTACTTTAAATTTCTCCATTTCAATGCATGAAAGGAATGGTCCACAGTAAAACAAAAGCAGTATTTCCAAGAATGTTAGTTGTCTCTAGCTCTGTATACATTTTCTACCGTCATATGTCTACCACCATAACCAATGCAGAGTTGTTTAACATGAAGTTTTGACCCAAACTGGACTATGAAGGGGCAAACTGGAGTGAAACAAACTCAAAACAAGCAAACCAACACCAACAGCCAAAAAAGTGTTCTTGAAATTTATATACCATACTTACATAAAAGAAGTTAAACCAATTGATCATTATGTACATACATTAGTGAATATTAGTATTTTACATTTACAAATACATGTGCATATGTAATCAAGTAAAAAGAAAAATGTTAAATAATTTTTATCAGTGAAAAATACATAAAACATGACTAATACTTCAATTTGAGTGCTTGTTCGATTCAGTGCTTAAAAATATTTGGAAAAATAATCCCAAAATATAACCTGGTGAAAGATATTTAAAAAGTGAAAGAGATAAGAAAATAGTAAGGGTTTGGTGTGATTTTAATAAGTAGGGGAAATGAGCAGAAATAAGATCCATATTTGGGGAGGAATTGCATAGCATAGACCGGATGAAGAATCGGAAAGGAAGAACGTGGTTTTTCCCAAGGCCAATTTCACTCAGAATGGAACAGAACCAGGGAATTTTCAGGACAAAGCAAATGAACTGAAGTTTCCATCATGAGTTCATTCTATTAGCAGATGAACAACTGACTCCTTCCTTGAATCTTTATTAGGAGGCAGGCCTCAGACATTCACCCTACAGTTAGATACAACGTCAGTTCCTTACTTGGCTTCTGTCTAGAGGCTAAGAGTGCAAGGTGACATATAATGACATTGCACAACTTGGTAGGAATCTATCTTTACTGAAGAACCATTGGACGGCATCAACTAACCATCTTTCCAAGCACGGGCTTGTTTGCAATTCTTGAACCTCGCGTTTCTCCTCTAAAGACTGAGTTCCGGAAAGAGTTGGGGCAACTCCCTGCAGGGCAGAGATGGTGCGTCCTTCCCAGCGTGCTCCATGGTCTGGGATGGGCGGTGGCGGCCCGGGCCGGCCTGCTACTTGAGGCAGGGACAGCAGAAGCAGCAGAGGGTCCGGCAGGGGTTCTTTTTCTTGTACTGCACGGCCTTCCGCACCTGCGCCTTGGCCTGGCCGGTGTAGTCGACCGTCTTTTGTACGTTGAGCTCGATGACGTTCAGGGTGTCGGCCTGCTTCTCCACCAGCACTGCCATCTGCAAGAAGAGCTCGTGCACGTCGCGGATGCGGCTTTCCAGGCGCAGCAGCTCGCGGTGGCGGCTCTCGATCTCGTTAAGGGCGGCCCGCGCGCCTTTTACATCAGCCAGCAGGTTCTCGGAGAACATATCCCACTTGCTCTGCTCGAACATGTCCTCTATCTGGTCGCCCGAGACGTCCTTCCCCATGATCTCCAGCTGGCGCTGGATGCGGATCTTGCAGTTGTCGCGCTGCTTCATCTCGGCCTGGTTGTAGTCGTGCATGGCGCGCTGGAAGGTGAGGGTGAGCGCGTTGTACTGCGCCCGCGAGATGCGCGCCACCGCTGAGTGCGGGCCGTGCTGGGCTTCGGCGGCCTCGCTCAGCTCCTTCATGGCGCGTAGCTTGCAGTGGATGACCTCGCCCCGGGCCTTGATGGCCTTGGCGATGGAGTTGGTGTCGCGCTTGATGCTGCTGAGGCGCCGCATGGACGTGAGGAAGCGGGCGTTCTGCTTTCCCAGGCGCTTCACGTCGGCCACCAGCAACTGGTTTTCATCCTGGATGTCCTGGATGTCTCGGTACAGGGACTCCAGGATGTGGTCCGTCTCGAACACGATGTCCTCGTGGGGCGAGTCAAATTCATCGTCCCCGTCTGGGAACTGCTGGTCATATTGCTTGGACAAGTCCAGAAGTTCTGCTAGCCGGTCTTTCATTTTGCCTGCAAGTAGAGGTAATTCAGTTAAATTTCTCTATTGAGAGTGAAGTATTTGCCTTCAAGGGATTGAAACTTAACATTTTACTCAGCAGTCCCAATTTTTTATTCCTAGGTGTGGGAAATAAGTGCACTAAAGGAGCTAAATGTTCTGACATTTTGCTTACAAGGAAATAAATAAGATGACTGGACAACATGAAACAGTTGCATTTTAAGGCCCATATGCACCTGCAGTTCAGTATCATAGCCGTCTAGAACTCAATCAACAATTTAAAATTTTAGATTGCATTGGGAAACCATCTCTTTTTCTTGCTTTATGTTTTTCAATCATCGCAAATTAAAACAGACACAGGAAAAAAAAAAAAAAGGAAAAAAGAAAAAAGACTTGCAAACTTAAGCATTTTTAATTGAGGACAATCTACAAGGCCTTGGGGCCAACATCTAAATGTTGCCTATTTTGTGTCTATTTCAGCACTGGTAAGCATCCCCTCCTGTACATACTAACAACTCTTAAAATAGTTACCATGCAAATCATGATTTAATTTTTTTTCTCTTAAAGATTTTGTAAAAGTAAAACATGCTTAAGGTAAAATGATAACAACAAAATACAGAAATCTAAGTGTAAAATTTAGAAGTTGAGGTTTCCTGACTCCTCTTTTCAATATCATTCCCTAATGATAATCATTGTAAATAACACTGCTTTTTAAAATGCTTTCATATGGAAAATTCCAATCATATGTGGCCTAGTAGCAATAATATAACGCATTCCCATTCATTCATCATGTAGCAGCAATGTTTGCCCACTTTTAATACCTTTTTGAAACAAATTGGCAGCTCAGGCAGAATGTTCATGTTTTTACAAGGATGGTTCTGGTAATTCCTCTGCTTAATAAGGCAAAGTAATAGTCTCTATGTCCATATTGTTTTTCAGTGAAGTAAAAAACTTCCATTTTTAGTAGCATGTATATATGCTAATATAGGGAACATCTTGAGTTTATACATGAGACTTCATGATGAGAAAGATTCCTTTTCTACTACACAATTTGCAGCAAAGAAAGGAAAAGTAATAACACTTAATGGTTACACAGTCTATCAGGGTTCTTGGTCTCAAATTAAAAGCTTCTTTCAAGTTGAAGTAATTCATTTTATATCACCACTAATGTAATGCTGACAAGTTGGATTTGGTGATAAATGGAAAATGGTGAAATATTAACCATGGCCTTTCATCTACCGTGATCATCATTTACATAAATTAAGCAGAAGTTTTATCTATGATGGTGATTTTTAATATAACAATATAAGCTGCTTAAAGTGCCACCATTTCTGATATCTGGTGGCTATAATCAATACCAGACGTTCTCAATGATGGGGAAGATGATTCTCCTAGCAGTATGGTTGACAGGCAGAATAAAGATCCAGGACCAAAACTATGCCTTCACTTGGTCTGAATTTCTTGATATTCAACTGTTTCCTCACTTTGAACAAAATTGAAAGACAAACCACCAACTGGGGAGAAATTATAATATATGACAGACAATGGGTTAAGATACTTAATATATATATTTCTAAGCTACCAAAAAATCTACTTACCCCAAGACAGTGAAAGGGCAATTCAGAGAAGATATAAATGACAGAGAACATAAACATATGTTATATATGCCTGATATTTTCTAGGCATCTTTCATGTGATACCCTCTTTAGTCTTCACACAGATTCTATGAGTAGGTACTGCCATTATCAGAGTTGGTGTGACCATAGGGAGATCAAGGAATTTACTCAAGGTCACCAGTAAGTGAACACTCAGGCTTTAGAACAGCACCACTTAACCACTGCACGAAATAATCCTTAGCAAAAGTATAAAAATATAGTCACAAAAGACTTCTGTATTAAACAAGGAAATGCAAATTAAACTGCTGAGAATTTTTTTGCCCACAGAGTTAGCATGAGTTTTTTAAAAACAATAATTTTTCAAATGGGTAAGCATTCTGGGAACTCTTAAAACATACTGGTAATTCCATCTCATGCCAGTCAGAATGGTGACTATTAAAATGTCAAGAAACAATAGATGCTGGTGGAGGCTGTGGAGAAATAGGAATGCTTTAACACTGTTGGTGGGAATGTAAATTAGTTCAACCATTGTGGAAGACAGTGTGGCAATTCCTCAAAGATTTAGAACCAGAAATACCATTTGAGCCAGCAATCCCATTCCTGAGTATATACCCAAAGGAATATAAATCATTCTATTATAAAGACACATGCATGTGAATGTTCACTGCAGCCCTACTCACAATAGCAGAGACACAGAACCAACCCAAATGCCCATCAATGTTAGACTGTACTATACAGCCATAAAGAGGAATGAGATCATGTTCTTTGCAGGGACATGGATGAAGCTGGAAGCCATTATCTTCAGCAAAGTAATGCATGAACAGAAAACCAAACACTGCATGTTCTCACTTACAAATGGCAGCTGAACAATGAGAACACCTGGACACAGGGAGGGGAATAACGCATAGTGGGGCCTGTTGGGGAAGGGCAGGGGAGGGGAGAGCATTAGGGAAAAGAGCTGATGCTTGCTGGGCTTAATACCTAGGTGATGGGATGATCTGTGCAGCAAACCACCATGGTACATATTTACCTATGTAACAAACCTGCACATCTTGCACCTGTACCCCGGAACTTAAAAACATGAAATAAAATAAAATAATATAATCAATATTATCATTCAGGGTCCTGAGACCTCTCTCAGGTTCTGCTGAACTAAGCAATTAAATTAAATTTTCTTCTAGATTAAAAAAATAGTCTAATTTAAAACTCCTGTGGTGTCTTTGTTTTTGCAACTTAATGATTTTGCAAATAAAGTCTATTAATTATTTTTAAAAATTGGTAATTGATAGAATCTTTCTGGAAGAGTTTAGTAATATGTATCAAAAGCTTTTCAAGTGTGCATTTGTTTTGACATGTGCATTTATTCTAAAGATATAATGCAAAAGTGTATGAAATTCATTGCTCTAAATATTTTAATCACCACCTTGTTTTTACAGAAATTCAGAAATAAGTTGAATGCACAATAATGAGGTCCTGGCTTCTACATGAGTCACAGAGTTTAGAAGGCTATCTAATGGCATGAAAAGCATTTATACTCTGTTAGGCAGAAAAAGTAGTTATGGAGAAAGAGAATGTGCAGCATTCTGAAACAGAGACTTGAAAAATACACATCAAAATGTTAACTATAGTTTTCTTTCAGTTGTGGAATTATACATGGTTTAAATTGCTTCCTTTTGCTTTTCTGTATTTTCCAAAATTTTTATAATGTCTATACAGATTTCATAATTTTAAAACCCATACAAAACAATAAACACTATTTGTTTAAAGGACTAACTCCTTAGCAACTTAGTCTATGCATTGCAGTCAAGTTAACATTTTGTGCTACCTGGGGAAAGCACATTAGCTAGTTTGCATAGAGTTGAGCTGTACCCATCTGCTTAAGTTAGTACCCAATATAGTCTACCTTGCAACAAGTGGATGAGATGGAATGGATGCATTTTGATGAACAAGGCAAGAATAGGTGACAGATGCCTTCCTTCCTCACATCTTGGCCAAGCCTTACAAGGCACTTCAATGGAAGGAAACGGGTAGAGATAAGGGACTGTGCCATGCCCTGGGGCACTAGGGATCATTTGTAGGTATCCTGCTCATCCTAGACAGGTCCTGTGCTCTGTATTGCTCTCCTAGAGCCATTAAAAAGCTATTAGGGGAAATCATCTCATCACAATATGAAGAGTCGAATACAATTCAACCATATAGAAAATGGTTTTGGAAGATGTCCAGGGACAGTCATTCCTTCTCAAGATTGAACAACCATAAATTCATAGATAACAAATTATAAAACAGGTAAGGGCCCAAGCTCATGTGAAGGCGCAAGTCCATAATGTGCTAATAAGAGAAAAAGAAAGGGTATAGGAGATGTAAAGATTCTCTACTGAGGTGTGGTCAAGGAGAGAAGGGGGCCTTCACCTTGCCTTCCTGCCCACCTTTCTTGGCTCAGCCAGCCTCAGATGAGTTGCCTGCACTGACATAGAAGGTCTTCTGGTCACCAGGGAGCAAACATTAGGAAAAGTACAACAGAGAGTCAATGAAGAGACTGCTATTCCTAAGAATGTCTCCTAAAAGGTTAAAAGTGTACACATTGCTGAAGTTTTACAAAAATATAGAAGTGGGCACAAATAGAGCATCAAAATAACCTATATATCCCATAGCTTGATTCTGTACTATGAATTCCTAGAAAGAGAACTATGGTAAATGAGAAAGAAAAATAAGACAATTCCACTGACCTTCCTGTCCTATTATAATAAAGGATAGTGTAATAAACTTTGGTAAATTGCATTAATCAAGTTGCTAAAAAATAAGTCCTGCTTCGATTTGCATGGAGGTAAAGGATTCAAAAGAAAATTGATAACCAACTACCAAAAATCTGCTTCTGCTTTCTAATTTTCTTTTCAGGCATGCATATAATCTGTACTGAAAACTAGATCCAATAAGGAAGGAAGGGGGAATTGCTTAAGCCTTTTTTCATTGAGCAATGAAGTTTTGTGTAAGAGAAAACAAAGGAACAAAGAGATGATGGCAGCTCAGTGGTCCTCAGTCTGCAGGAGGTGACAGAGTCATCTGGAGAGCTTCAAAGATTACAGATGCCTGGGCACCTAGAGTTTCTGATTTGGTAGGCCTAGGATGATCTCCAGCTGATTGTAATGCATACCCAAATTTGGGACCCATTCCATAGATACCTACCTATCATGTCAGCTTTTTTTTTTTTTTTTTTTTTTTTTGAGGTGATCTTGCTCTGTTGCCCAGGCTGGAGTGCAGTGGTACAATCTCGGCTCACTGCAACCTCCACCTCCCGGGTTCAAGTGATTCTTCTGCCTTAGCCTCCTGTGCAGCTTTAATTACAGGCATGCACTACCATGCCCAGCTAAGTTTTGTACTTTTAATAGAGACGGGGTTTC